TGCGCTTCATGCTGTTCTACCTTGGACGAGACTGGAACGTCATCGGATGTTCTGTACACGTTTGTGAACTCTCGTGGACGATGTTTGACGGGGACTTGACGACCTACTGCCTTCACCTCAATCACCTGTGGGATCTTTCGGAACCGAACACGCTTCATGCTGACGCTTGATCCTCCTGAGCTCGAGGTTGCCCTCGGCTGTTTCTTTGCAATGCATGCAAACTTGGGGTGAGAATCGATCAAGCATGGAGCAGCATTGGATTCCTTTCCCTTCTTTTTCGGTGCTGGAGAGTTGGTCCTCTTCGTGTCCTTGGTGGCGGCAGCAGCTTTGTCGTCATGCTTGTAGAAGCATTTGTCACCTCGCCTGCATTTACCTTGGGCATGATAAGTGCATGGGGTCTTTGCCATCTCTTCTTTTGACATCTTCTTCCCCATATCATCCTTGTTACCCTTTGAAGGCGACCGAGTTCTATTTCTCTTGGGGGATTGAGTGCGTGACTTGTCATCCTTAACGTGCTTGAATGGACACTTCTTCCCCTTATCGCATTGGCCCTTCTGGAACTTATAGCAAACTTTGTCACCTTTGCTCCTATCTTGAGACCTACCACGACTCGGAGAACCCTTTCGGTTGGGCTTGCCACGACCATCGGCTTTGGCGGGTTCAGCTTTCGTGTCCTTTGGACCACCGGCCTTGTTCTTCTCCGCAATGCGATTGCGATTTTCCCTCAATCGTTCCCTGTCAATCAGGTTCTTCATCGACTGATGGAGGAAGTTGTAAGACTTCTCATGGGCCTTTTCGGATGCACGATCAAACACTTCAATGTCGTACTTCAGCAACTGGCTAGGACGGATCTGCCGCAAGAGAATGTCCCTTAGCACGGCTTCTTCGGGGGTCGATGCCGTACCAGCTAGAGTAGCATCCCACTTGTTGACAAATCTTCTTAAGTCCTGTACCGTGTCACCTACTTTGACAACACCCAAAAGATCTTCTACTCTGTAAAGGCTACCTGCTTCTTCTGATGTCTTGAAGTAGTCCTCAAACATAAGCAAGACATATCGTCCCCTTACTTGGACACCTTTTCAGGATTGCTGCTCTTTACAGTTCAGAATCCTAGTGGCAAGATCTCCGCCGGCTGAGCGTGTGAGCGCTGCTGATAACTTTGTATCCAGCGTGAGAAATTTTCCAAGCTTTTCACGGGTGCAAGACTGGTCGTACACCTCGTTCAGCCAAGCCCAAGCCTCATCTGGACGATCAGAACAGCATCCCTGACATGGTTCTTCCAATTTCTGTATGATTCTGGTGCTGGCATCTTGTTCAACTTGATGACTTCAGCTTCCTTAGTCTTTGGCTTATCCTTTTCATCCCTTTGGGTTAAGGCCTTTACCAATTCAATAAGATCTGAAGCTCCCATCATCTGTTGTTGTCTGCCTATACTCTTTGGGGAATCATTTGGGGGAGTCTTGACTGGCTCAGTTGGAGTCAAAAAAACCTGACTGCGTCGGCAAATGAGGCTTGTTGTTGCCAACAGCTGGCTTAGGACTTAGGAGGAGTGCTACCACCTTTGAGTAGCTCATCCAGCTTTGCCTTGGCCTCTTGTGCCAACACACCAGGCGACTTGATTTCTGGAATCGGCTCATGCTCAGCTTTTGCTGCGGATGCTTCCGGTGCTCTCGGAGTTGCAATATTGAAGACGGGCACACCAGCGGTGGTGGCTGGCTCAGTTTTCGGGGCGGATGCTTTCGGCACGGATGCTGGTTGCACTTTGGCAACATGGTTCAGCTGATCCTGCAAATCGTCAATCTGATCCTGAAGGCTGAGATTTTATGCGCTGCTTCATTGATCTTGTCTGACATTTCCCGCTTGTAGTTTTCAAATTCTACCTTCAACTGAATGAAACGGGCTTGCTCAATTGCAGCTTGTTCTTCATATTGCTTTTTCGCGGCAGCTATGGCGTTCCTAGCATGCTCCACTGTTTGTGCATCGGAGGCCTCGAATTCCTTTGTGATACGTTGCCTTTCTTCCACAATCTTTTGGTCATGCTTGGTATTTGCCTCTACCTTGAACTCCTCAACCTTAGCATCATGTGTTGCCCGAGCCTGGTTCAACCTGACCTCTAGTTCATCACCTCGCTTTCTTTCATCAGCTATCGCGACAATTGCCTTTGCTTCTACGTCCTGCAACCTTTGCTCATACTCCTGCTCTTGCTTCGCGAACCTACTTGACCAATCATTTTTAATTGAGTCAACTACTCCGTGAGTTATCTGAAGGTGCCTTTGTTTAGCTTCCCTCATGACTTGCAGTGTGTTTCCACTTGTGATCTGTGCAAGGTTGTTTTGTATGAACGTGAAGTATGCAACTACTGGCTGATACATTGTCTCATCATCCATGGGCTCGGAGTCGCCCCCGGCTGCATTAGGCACGGCGACGATCGGACCTGACCCTGGAACGGCGAGAGGAAGGTCAGCTGGGGCCCCCATAGCAAAGTGGTGAGACTACGGCTGATAACCTGTATTTTATCAGGTCAGCCACCAATGTTACTATACAATGGGGATAGACCACAAACCGGTAAGCACTCGGATCTGTTTTGAACCAACGCTGCAAGGTAGTTGCAATGACGTATTATGCATAGGGTTTTACTGCAGGAGTTTTTACACTTATATATACTTATATAACATAAAATTTGGGACTTGAAGGAAAACAAGTGAAACAACATGTACTCGCAACACTATGGTCAAAAGAGACGCTATTGGTCTTATGTACATTTCTACGCTTGGCTATGCACCCTGCCTAGTTGGAATTGTAGATGATGGTGCGATTTTTGGAGGCACATCTGTGGCAGTTCAGGAAATTATCCACCTGAACAAACGCTTCCCAACACTCAAACCCAAATCATTTGTTCCTTCATCATCTTATTTTCACATTTGAATCAGCCTGGGCCACTGGGTGCACAAAGATTTGGTTTTAAAAAGTGAGCTGTGGGTATTAAAGGGTATTGACCACCAGAACTTGAGATAACCAACAAATGTCTTGGAAAACTGTGTAATTCTTGGCATGCTACGCCAAAGTGGATGCACCCGCAGCGGGTCGTCGTGCAACAAAAAAAATGTGTTCCTCTGGTCACTTGTTGAGAGGCAAACCAGCGAGGTTTAGCAGCACACTGACCGGACAATGCAACTTATTACCAATGACAATGTTCCATCTTGCACGATACCCTTTGCGCCGAAATAACGCAAGTAAACAGAGTTGCTATATACTTCGACATGTCAAGCAAGGCTTATGTGATCTTCCATGGCAGCATTTTCTTCTCTGCTCAAAAACTGTTCGGGGGGGGCTTTCAAATTCAGCCTCAATTCCTGCTACTTTGCAAAGTTGTAAAGTTCTTATCCCGTGTGGCATGACCGTCCTTTAGGTCTCATTTGAAAGATTTGAAAGGGCACCAGCAAACACTGGCACCGAATGGACCCTTGAGGCTCACACTGTCTCTATCCCTACTCTTTCGTGGGATAGGTGACATGCCAGAGGCCCTTTGGGCCACAATTGGATCAAACTCAAGTTCACAAAGCCTGAACATGCACATAAATTTGCCGTTTACTTCTCTCAAACGGTTTAGAACTGAAATGAAATTATGAAATGGATGGGCCAACACCTACCAACCCTGTCAACTTCTTTCGGGATGCGATCCGGGATGAGTCAGGTAGATTGCTGTTCCACATGCAAGATGTGATGACCCATATAATATGTTTGTACTTGTTACCCACTTACCGACCGGAATGCACCCCCCAAGCAACGGCTTCACCGAGTTACCGTGTTGGACGGTCACAGATTCACATATCGACACTGCGGTGGAAAAGAAGGCGTGCGTGTTTGCGCATTCGGTGTCACTTCCAAAGAGTTCCAAAGGACAACGCGACGGAAGCGGAAGGAATGGTGGAAGAGCGGGTAAGCCGGGTAAGCAATTTACTGAGGGTTGGATTGAATGATTGACTGAACAACAAAGAACTGACATGTGAGTGACTTTGAGATATGAATGAGTGATTGAGGTGTGCGTGCGCATCATCTGGATAGATGTAAAGTTCCTACTGTCGTTTCGTAAAGTTCTTCGTCTCCACTTGATGTTCCTAGTTACCAGGTGCTGACATGGGATACCGATTTTGAACGAATGAATTTAAATGATGGAATCACCTCATTCCACCTCGTGCCGCCTCATGTGGCTGTGTTTTTTCGCGCGCGCGCGTGCCGTCTGCGTGCATGCGGGCGAGGTGTGTGGGCGTGCGGGCGGGCGGGCGGGCGGGCGTGCGTACGCACGTGCGTGTGGGAAAGGGTTTATAACGAATATAGTTAGTTGAGTGAAGGGGGTGGGCCTGCTACTGCGATGCACCTGTGCAACCCAAGTCAATGAGAGATCGTAACGTCGAACCTCATGCGAAATTTGGTGCCCTTATGTGTAATTCACTAGAATTGGCTGGGTTAGTACTATTGGGTGCTCCTACTGGAATTTCGCCATGCTACAACATACAACCTCCTCAAGCTTTGGATCGCCAGACGGGGTCATGTTTTTCGGCCATGTCAGCTTTCGCACGGCTCCCGTGGTCGAGATTGGAGTCTGAATCCGAACGTTTGCCCCCTTAAAATCAATGTGCTGAAAACATTACAACGCTTACAAAACATCTTGTGCAATTTCCACATAATATACATGTATGTGTGTATGTCGAATTATATATATATACATCAATAAATATATATATATTTATTATTTATTTATATAATTCTCAACCAATATCAAGGTCCGGCTCCACCATCAGGACCATCAGGACCATCAGGACCATCAGGACCATCGAGCCCGCCGTCTCCGCCATCAGGACCATCGAGCCCGCCATCGGCCCCACCATCAGGACCATCGAGCCCGCCGTCGTCTCCACCATCAGGACCATCGAGCCCGCCGTCTCCGCCATCAGGACCATCGAGCCCGCCGTCGTCTCCACCATCAGGACCATCGAGCCCGCCGTCGTCAGCGCCGCCGTCATCGGCGCCGTCGTCACCATAGCCACTGCCACCATCGAAACCAGCTGGGTGAGTAGTTGTAAAATAATTATCATTTTGGAGCCTCACCGAGCAGGCGAGCCAGCTGGGATCCCAAAAGGCACAAACACAAATGATCCAGGCATACGGAACAGCAGATTGACCATTTACAACGAAAGGGTTTCCAGAAACTACTTCCTTTACGCAACATGGTTTGTACCCTGGAAAAGCTAAAGTAACCACAAGACTCAAGCACATTTAGGTTGGCTTCGCTATGAAAATTCAGCGCGACTAGCATTCAAGTGTGTTATTGAAGCATAGCTTCCCAGCGACCCAGCTGTTGCCCTGGTCGCAATCCCTGCTTTGGACTGGTACTAAGAGAGGGACGGGGAGAGAGAGAGAGAGAGTGAGAGAGAATCATCCTTGCAAACCACCCCAAGAGCAAACCGAATATTGAATTGCAGTCTGCCACAAGTTTGGAAAAACTTTTTAGCAATGCTATGAAGGAAAGCCTACTCCATCACCACCCGACGGAACCCCTTCGCCACACCCCCACCCCACACCCAAGCCCCTCACCCCACCCACCCGACCCCCACCCCAACTATGGACCCCACACCGTTCACCCCACCACCACGCCATCACCATCATCACCACCACCACCATCATAAGCACTACCACCATCACCACGCCCGTGGACCGTCAGGTTCCCATATCAAATGTATAAACCCCAAAGCTACCTTGATTGTGGAAATTTATAATATTATGGTAGATTACGAGGAAAAAATATCCCGGTTCAAATAAGGGGGAGGCCGTGGTTTGGGGAAACCATCCGCATTTATGCCCGCCTGTGCCGAGTCTGGCAGAACATAATCCAACAGTCTGGTGGTTAATTGGTCCTTCATTTGGATTCTTCTTCAGACTTGCTGGACCAAATTTGGATTACAACGCGGGATCGGGTTCGCTTGGGCCAGCAAGCGTTCCAGGCAACCGTCCACATTCTGTCAGCCTTTGCAGTCTGTCCCAATAGAATTGGGAAATCTATGGGTGACTTTTTCTGTGTTTGAATTCTTTTTCAAAATGGTTGATTTTGGCAACTTTGGGAGCCAACAAAGCGGCGGAGCATAAAATCATAGAGATATATAAAAGATTACCTACAAACAATTACTAATATCGAAGGATGACTGGGTTTTTATGGGCCAGCCTTGTTGTAGATGTATGCAATCGGACGCTCCTTTTTGCAGACAGCCAGCCACGGTTTAAGGAAACCCTCCACATTTATGTCACCCTGTGCAGTTTGTCCCAGCGTTGTTCAAGCCAAAAAAGGATAAAGACGGGCTACAAAGATGCGCTGATTGGACCTCGCATGCCCAGCCCCGCAAGAGTCAGTTTACAAAAGGATTTCAAATTGATATCCCAATGAATCCCCATCCCATTACAAACTACAAATTGTTTGTTCAAGTTTGGAGGAGCTACAAAATGCAAATGACATTTTATGTTGGATGTTCCAGTTACCTCAACATATATACAACTACACAATGACAATGAAAATGAGATTTATCTTGGATGTTTCAACTACCTCAACATAATTATACAACTACAAAATACACATGTGCATTTGACATGAACAACTTCCGAACGCTGCAAAACGAAAAAAATAAAATTAAAAAAATGACACGGTTATTCTTAATACCAAACGACCCTAGCTGGCGTTTTGTAGTGTGAAAAGACATGGGATGAGATGAGACGAGAACGGATGATATAAGAAGGGTTGAGAAGGAAATGTCGAAAAAAAAACTATGTCAAGAGAAAAAAGATGCCAAGTGCCAGAAATGTCAGATGACTGCGCATCAAAGAATTGTCTCTGCAACACTACACGGCTGGTGCCGCAGCACATTCTATAGACACATTCTGGTTCAAACCATAAACCTTTCATTTTTCAAACTGCCGCCCCCGGCTTGCTTGGGTACTGCCCGTGTACAATAATTTACAAATACCTAAATCACAAATATAATATCATTGTTCACAAAAATGTAAAACTACAAAATAATCAAACATAATCAAAGTTTAAAAAAACAGGTCTATGAGATAAAAACAGAATAGTACACAGTCATGACATGACAGGACATGAAAAATATAAAATCACCGAAGGAAGTTTAGAAGCCAAACTTCCGACAACATAGACAGATGGAAAAGCAGAGGTGGGAAGAGTCAGAGAAGAGTCAGAAGAGAAGAGAAGAGAAGAGATCAGAGAAGATCAGAGAAGAGAAAGAGTCAGAAAAAAGAAGTTGCGCGAAAAGGTAGAAAAGTCGCAATTCATTGTGGTTTCCAATGATTTGTGGTTCCGGAGGGTCGAAAAGTAGGCTCATGTGGCGCAAAGCACATTTCCAAGTCAAAATGTACAAAACACACCAGGATGTCCAAAAAATGCACGCCGTTGTGGCGCGAAGCACATTTTCAAGTCAAAACGTGCAAAACACACCAGGTTCGGAGCACTTTTGGAAGTTGAGATGTCGAAAAAATGCACGCCGTTGTGGCGCAAAGCACATTTCCAAGTCAAAATGTACAAAACACACCAGTTTCGGAGCATTTTTGGAAGTTGAGATGTCGAAAAAGTGCATGCCGTTGTGGCGCGAAAACATTTCGAAGTCAAAAGTGTTAAAAACTGACGGTCTCGGACCACTTTTGGAAGTTGATACGTCGTTTTGCGTGGCTGGCACAAGGGATTCTGCATGTTGTCATAAATGAGGAAAACGTGACGGGTTTGTCGCAGTTTCAACTACAACCACCAGTACACTCCACTACGCTCCACTCCACTACACTACAACTACAACTACAGCTACAACTGCAACTACACTACATTACACGACACTGCGCTACACTAGTTGCATTATGCTGCTAGTTACATTACACCACACCACACTACACTACACGACACTACACTCCACTACACTACATTACACTCAATTACACTACACTACGCTACGCTACGCTACATTAACTACAACTACAACTACAACTACACTACATCACACTGCACTACACTACACTTCACTACACCGCACTAACCTACACCACACCACACTACACCAGACTACACCACACTAACTACAACTGCAGCTACAACTTTGCTACTTTACACTACACTACACTACACTAACTACAACTAGAACTAGAACTACAACTACAACTACGCTACTTTAGACTACACCTATTACACTGTACTAGACTACACTACACTACCCTACATTACATTACACTACACTCACTACACCACCACACATGCAACTGCAACTACACTACACTATTGCACTACACCACAACTACAACTCCACTACACTACAAATACAACTACAGCTGCACTACACCGCACTCCACACTACATCCAGCAGCTGTGGGTGAGGTGACCGACCAGGTGACCACTGCAACCATTGTAACCACTCCAAAAAACACAACTCCAACCACCTTTCAGTCCATCAGTGGATTCGCTCTGCCATCCGTGATTCACAACAACAAACCTCTCCTCTAGGTTTCCTGTTTTAGAAACTTCCGCCACCACCTTGTGCGGCACTATTGGTAATACACAGTTAAAAACACTAAATGATGTAGAACAGGAAAGAACAGGAAAGAACAATAAAAAATACATAATGACAACAAAAACAAAAACATAATCGAAGGAAGTTTAGAAGCCAAACTTCCGACAATATGGACAGATGAAAAGCAGAGTAGGGCAGAGGCAGAGAGAAGAGAAAGATTAGAAGAGAGAAGAGTAGAAGAGAAAGAGTCAGAAGAAAGAAGATGCAGATGCGCGAAAAGGTAGGAAAGTCGCGAAACACTGTTTTTTCCAATGATTTGTGGCTCCGGAGGGTCGAAAAGTAGGCTCGCTAAAGCGGCGGGTGCGGAGCCAGCTGGCCAGATGAGAGATGAAAAATTGCACGCCGTTGTGGCGCGAAGTACATTTCCAAGTCCAAATGTACAAAACACACCATTCTCGGACCACTTTTGGAAGGTGAGATGTCGAAAAAGTGCACGCCGTTGTGGCACGAAGCACATGTCCAAGTCAAAATATACAAAACACACCATGTTCAGACCACTTTTGTAAGTTGAGATGTCCAAAAAGTGTACGCCGTTGTGGCGCGAAGCACATTTTCAAGTCAAAACGTGCAAAACACACCATTCTTGGACCACTTTTGGAGGTTGAGATGTCGAAAAAGTGCACGCCGTTGTGGCGCGAAGCACATTTCGAAGTCAAAATGTTAAAAACACCAGGGGTTCGGACCACTTTTGGAGGTTCAGATGTCGCTTTGCGTGGCAGGCGCAAGGGATTGTGCACCTTGTCAAAAGTGAGCAAAACGTGAGGGTTTTGTAGCATTTTCAACTACAACCACCACTACACCACACTACACTACACTCCACTACGCTACACTACATTACACTACACTACACGACCTTCCACTACACTTCACTACATTACACTACACTACACTCCACTACACTACAACTACAGCTACAACTACAAATACACTCCACTACACTCCACTACACTAAATTACACTACACTACTACATTACACTACATTACACTACATTCCACTACACTCCACTACACTACACTACATTACACTGAATGACACTGCACCACAGATAGACAGGCAGACAGATAGAGAGATAGATAGATAGATTAGATTAGATTAGATTAGATGAGATTAGATTAGATTGGTTGGATTGGATTAGATTAGATTAGATTAATAGATTAGATAGATAGATTAGATAGATAGATTAGATAGATTAGATAGATAGACAGACAGACAGATAGATAGATAGATAGGTAGGTAGATAGATAGATAGATACATAGATAGATAGATAGATAGATACATAGATAGATAGATAGACTAGATTAGATTAGATTAGATTTGATTTGATTTGATTAGATTAGATTAGCTTAGATTAGATTAGATTAGATAGATAGGTAGATAGATAGGTAGATAGATAGATAGATAGGTAGATAGATAGATAGGTAGATAGATAGAGATAGATAGATAGATAGATAGGTAGATAGATAGATAGATTAGATAGATAGATAGATAG